GTTCGTTCGGTTATTAGGGACGGCTGGCCCCCGAACACTAACGAAAGACGCGGCATGTGTAGGACACGATCAACGCAAAACCCTCCCTCTATCTAACAATCGTCGTTAGAAAGTCCCTTTCGAATACGCCTATTCCTTTGTAGTACGACTACTTTGATCTTACGAAGTTGTGTTAAGGAGCGATAGATCTCTGGTACCATTATCCAAATTATCGAGATTCACATCTTGCTGTTATTGCTGTGTAGACTCGAATTTTTCTGGTCGTCAATCCGAAAACGCAGCGAGAATAATCCTGGTTGACCTTATCGTGCATATCTCCCTAGTGATTACTTGTAATGGGTTAAAAGACGGTTGCGTGTCAAAATATTTTTAATTATCGCCGTAACTTTCAACTTCAACTTTCATTCCCAATGAGACCAAGAGGCCCTATTTGACCGGGTTCTTCCGAATGTAACCCTTTTTTCCAAATGAAAGGTACTCATTTTTTGCAACATAGGGTCTAAATTCCTGTGTCCCAGTGAGCCAAAATGTGGCAGCTGGTGATATCCTGATTCTGCTAGGTTGTTTCCTTCCGACATCAATCGTGTTAAATTCCAGGTATCTGTCCTGATTATGTTGTTCAACAGTAGTCCTATTGGACATGGTGATTTCTTAAGATGATTTTGTATTCCCACTAGATCGCCCAACTTTCAATAGAATGGCCATTGTGTATCGCACCAATTTGGAGCAAAGGATCCAAACTTTTGTAGCTCACCACAAGGCACCGTGTCGGTGCGATTTAAATCAACATTTTGGCAGGAAAAGTTGTTTTTTTTCACCGCTGACTTCTTTCGATCTACCTGGTGCCTTTACCACGGCTCACTACTTTTACCTCTTTTTTATTTATTCCAGGTTGTTTGCGACAAGTTTACGACCGACGAAATGTGCAACGAGTTGGCGGCCCACCTTCTCATCACGGTAATTGACAAGACTCGTTAGCTAGTTCCAATCTACTATCATTTGTTAGCTTTCTGACCCATGGGCTTCTCTTCGGGGGGGGGGGGTTTGCGTGGCTGGTGCGTTTCTCAGTTAGACTGATCTTTACCAGGTAAACCGCACTCCATTACGTACAGAATGTCACCGGTCGATAAAACGTCACTCTTGTTTTTCACCGCCAATGTGCCTTCGAAAGAGGTGTTTCCACTGCTTTTCTCTCCACGCCATCGTCTCCTGAATGTCTGTAGGCGGTGTCAGCTCGTTTTATTCAGCGATCTGTTTCTGCGAGACGATCACTACAGTTTTTATCTTTTTCTTGCAATGCTTCCCCTTCGTGGGTCAGTTATCCCTATTCAGCGAATGACTTATCCGCAACGGTTACTCGGTAAGCCCACAAAATCAAGGACAGAAGAGGATGCCTAGACATAGAGTTGACCTCTTTAGAGGAAAATGTCGGTAGCTCAGGTAGCGTAGATGGTCGTTGGTTTGTCCGCTGCGCTGGGGAATTTGATTGCAAACGCTTCATCACCAATCGAGGTGACATCATCAGTACGCTCCTCAATCAAATTGCCCAGATCAACGAACAAGCCAACGGCCAGAGTTGGCCTCGCCCACCCAACCCAAAACAAACCAGTCCTACATCGTTTCCGCGTTATAACACTGGAACCGATTCCTTGGCCCTGTGGTGTCTGGTTTCTTCTCTTGCAGTAAAAAAGAGCTGTTGAACTCAAGTTTGACAGAATCTTGGGGTCTTCGCTTAGTCAGTGAGACCAAAGAAGGATGAAACCGTTTGTAGACTGTCGAACAATCTGTATCAACCCTGTGAGCAATGTTCCTTCAGGAAAAAAAAACGTTCCCACCGTTTGAAAATTATCTTACTACTCACGTGTCCGTATGTTTGTGTGAAAGGTTTTTAGATTCGAATCCTTTAATAAATCAAGTTTCTCCAACCCATTCCAGAATAATGTTGCGTGTGAAAAAATCGTTCAGCTGTGGCACCCTTTCGGCACCCAGCTGCCATGTCACCCGAAGGAAGCACGAGAGCTGGGATACTGCCAAGTTGTCTAGGCCTAGACAAGGGAAGTCGAGAGACAGAGATCGGGTTCGAACCACGGACCGGTCCGTAAATTCGTGCTCTGACCACTTGGCTCTCTCGCCCCCGACATGATTTAACAGAGATTACGTTGTGCTGATCAATCGTCTTCGATACTCTCCGCCAGTCCAGCACAGTTGTATACTTAGAGGCAGTCTGAGGAACAATGGAAACGCACGATTTGTGTAGTGACGCGTCCCACGATCATTTGCATACCATTATCCGTCAAACGAGTTCAACGTCTAATTACAGCGCCACTATGTAACATAACTATTTTGGGGATGAGGGCACCAGTTTGCTCATTGCAATCAAACTGATTTCACATTAATTTTGTAAAACTTTTTTTCGCAAATGAGGCCCCATTTTGACACGGCTGTTCCACATTTTCTTTCCTTTTCTTCTGAAGGACGGTTTACTTAAACCACTTGTTGGTTTCCTTCAAGAAGTCTACCCACACTCGGTGATCCCCTTCTGCGATAAACTACTAACCAAGTTGAGTAAGTTTCCGATCACTTTTGGGACTCAATTGATTTCCACTTCACTATGATTCTCTCGATATTTGGAATGCCTGTATATGCTATCTGGCCGCTCGTGATTCCGTTCAGCCTGATTGAGACAAGGATTATTGTTCGGTCCCTACTGTGCAACACGGGCATCAAATGAATGATGAGGCAAGCAAAAATGCTGCGGTGATTAGGTCCTGTTCTCTGTACCCCATTCAGAGTGACGCAGGCAGTGCGGCGTGGCCAACGTCCGGCCCGATGGAGGGGTGTGACAGAGATTAGGGAAAGTCTGGGTGATGTCCGTGGGACGGGCCTTCCAAGATGAGGCTCGCGTGATTTCCAGTGCGCTTAGTTGGAGATGTTGCGTCTGTGTTGAACACTGATGTTGTGTAGTAGATGATGATGACCTCACCATTCGTTAGCTGTTCGCTGACCTGGCAACGCGATGCCAGAAAGCCTAATGTTCGTCATTCCACGTTGGTGTTGACGTTGTGAGGACTGGCAAACATCGTTATTTCCCTCTCATTTCCAGTCCATACATCCCGCCAAGTTCGTCTGGTTCGTGCGTGCTACGATACAATGAAACAATGGTCGGTGGACGTAACCTCACTGAGTCCAGAAAACCAAGCTTTCATCTACGCGTCCCACCGTTTTCTGGAAACCGCACAAGAGGTTTGTCCATTTGCGCAATGTATTTCTTGTGTTATTTGTCAGACAGTCTTCTTCCTAAAGCGTTTCATCACTAGTTTCCCATTATTGTGGCTCATCTTGTTTACCTGGATTGTTTGTTATCCGTAGGACCTCCTTGATCCTTTGGAACACTTGGCGCGGAAGGTTCCAACCGAAATTCGCGAGTCGTGGTTGAAAGAATTGAAATATTCCCTGGCTGTGGACGATTTTATTACCACCTGCGAACTTTTGAACAAGTGAGTTTAGTCCTATTTCTTTTGTTCATCATTTTAGCCATGCCTTCGAAAGTCATTTCCGGTATATTTTATGCATGGTATAGTTGTTGTCGATTGTTAGATTATCTGATTAGATATCGAGTCTGCTTTTTCAGGCCTTTCCGTTTCTGCTTCCACACCACTCATCAACGGCTGCTTTTGATATCAAAACACCAGCCAGATCGCTCGCCCCTATAAAGCCGATCCTCACACCTAAGCAACTTGTCATGGCCCATTCAGTTATAGTAAAGATCCCTGGTTCCATCTGTTGAGCCCGTGCGCATGCATCGCTGCTTGTTCTCTGCCTCCTCTTACCAGCCTCAACAGGATGAGGGGGTCGAGATGGCTCAGAGGTCAATGCGCTCGTTCTCGATCTCATTAGCACTGTGTGCACTGAGGACATTGTGCCAATTTCCCTTTTGAGGGACCTCTAAACCAGTGTGATCTTAAGCAACCTTTCCTGAGCGTTTAACTTTTTAGGACGATATAAGTTCTTGCGAGTAATTCCCAAAACTATATCTTGTCCTCCCCGCGATTTCTTCCACAGACTGGATCCTTCTCTACGCGATTCAGCTGTATCTTTTGTAGTTTATTCTATGGTCGGCCCTTCGGAAACTGCACGTAAGTCGACAGCAGTTTTGCGTAATTAAGTCAGCTCTCTGAATTCCATGTCCATTGGTCAGATTTCGAAAACTTTTTGACGACTCATGCTCATAATCGTCGACGGCATGACATCAGTGCCATACAACTCTCATGCTAACAAATGGTGAATACTGACATTCAATTCCCTGCTACTTCTGGTTGTTCGGCAGTGGATCATCACTGATACTCATCGTCATCGTCACTGATGAAATAATGGAGCGCTTGGAGGTCTTCAAAACCCCGGCGTTCAAATTGTTGCTTGTGAGAGAGCCTTGTCACTCTGGAGTACGCAGACGACATCGTCCTCCTATTTGAAAAGTAAGGCGAAGCACAAGCTCCTCTGAATGGACTCACCACCATCTTTCGACATGCGCCTTGCACTTTCAAAGTGTAAAACCTACAGTCTCTTTGAATATACCGCTAACAATTCAAGAATAATCGGGCACACCAATCACATCACTCAATTGTGAACACGTTCGCCTATTTAGACGTGAAAATTCAGATGCGTCCAACGTGCGCTTGTCTCGCATGTCAGATATCCGGGGTTCGAATCCCGGCACGGTCATTGGGTATGCACTGCTAATGAGGTCGGAACTCGAGTCTAGTGCTTCTCCCTTTGGTGTGGACTCATTAGAATAATTGCGCTAGAACAGAATGACCGTTCAAACGAGAGTAGTGTGACTATGAACAAAATACCTATCCTGCAAAGCTCCAAAACTGCAATCAAGGAGAATCACTGGAAGTTATGACGCATTCCTCATACCTTGGTAGTTGTATAAGCTCTGACGGAAATATGTCTGATGAAGTCAGCCGTAGAATCTTGGAGGCTAGAATCACGTTTGCTAATTTGCGTCACTTGTAACATCAAAAAGGCATATCACTTGGTATTAAGGATCGCGCGTACGAGGTTACAGTAAGGGCTGTGTTGTTGTATGACTGCGAAACATGGCGTCTGCGGACAGATGATGTGAGGCGTCTTCCGCCTTTTGACCACTGATGTTTCAGAAGCGTTGCTGTTGTCGGATGGCGTCAACAAGTTCGTGACGATGTAATTAGCGAACGGTTATCTGGTTCTCAAGCAAGTTATTCAACCGGGGAAAAACATCCATCACCATCGAGTTTGGTGGCTCGCCCATGTCCTACGAACTGTCGTCTACCGAGACGAGTGTCTTCCTGCGCGTCTCCAGAATGACGCAAGTCGCGAGGAGGGGGGCACGAATGAGGTGGCAAAATGTGTGAAAGAGTTAACGAAGTTTTTGGGTGTACGTCTTCCAGGATAGGGTCCCCGTCACCCCGCTTGAGCTTTGTTGGAGACATTGCAATAAACGGCGGCTGATCGATGTCAGTGACGCTCGTGTCGTCAGTTGCTTTCCAGATTGTCTGGTTAAGGCATCTCAGAATGCTTGTCGTAGGCCAGCGCGAGATGCCTTCTCTATCCCACTCTTTTTCTCTTATTTTAGCTATACGGTTTTAAATATTATTTGATGAACTTTTTGGTGGTACGGCAGTGAAACATCGCTCCCAACACGGATGTCTCTGATGATGATCTTCCCCAACTGTTGGTATTGGTCATAGCGCCCTGTACCACTACTTCTAGGATTTCGCCTTGAGGCTCAATCTACTTGAGAGAGTTCAGAGAATGAGGCGCAAGCAACTAACGGGGAACCCCTCCTGGCTGATAAGCCGCTTCTGCATGGGTTTTCATGCACTACCAAAAACTATGTTGTGTGGTTGATTTTTTTCGGCGAGTGAAGTTCATGTCTTACCCAAGTCCTTTTTTATGTTCCAATCATCTGCTTTGCATTCCTTCTATGTACCACGTATCCTGAACCGTTTTCTCTTAAAGGTATTAACAAGCTCCTTACGACTGTCGCTGAACACTCTGACGTACAAATGCTGAAGCTTGTTGCTAAAGTAGCGCGGCCCTTCTTACCCGGAGGACTTAGCGAAGCATATCAAGCACTTTCTTGTGTGTACAAGTGAGTTTCGAATAATCTTTCGTCATCTTGCTCACCCTGATGGAAAATGTACATTTAAGAATGGTGAATGATAAACACCGGACAATAAACTACGCTATTTCCAAGACAAAAATAAATTTGCAAGTGATTTTAGACAAATGAACGTTAAGAATCTCACTTGTACGAATTGGAAGAATGCGTGCCATTTTTTCTCAAGTACCAATGAAACATTGGTACGCCACGTGAATAGAGTTCTGATTCGGACTAGAAGAAGAGGGTGTTCGGCTTTGCTTGGTCCATTCCGTTCACTGTACTTTGACCATATGGGTTGTTCGACTGAGGTCGGTGTTATCAGTCAGCTGTGCGGAACGATGGAAGTTTTGGCTGCATACGCTGCTCGAGATATTTTCTTTCGGACACTTAGATCTGGTTTGCTGAGAGGGATCGTCACCACTGCAAGACAATTTGGTGTTTGACAGGCGGAAAGACCCCTTAAGGTAACGTTAGTGGTTACCCAGCGTCCCATGTCTACCAGATACGCTTCAACCCAACGGTATTTATTTAACCTTTCACTACGCAAGAAAGTTTACGTTGAGAAGCGCGCTTTGATAACGCACCCTTTATTCTGCCTGTATAGCGTGCTTCACAAGAGTAAGCAAACGGATAAACAGGCATTGAGTTTGATTGACGGTTAAATTGTTCTTCAAGCCCGTTTCTCAGTGGTCGATGCGATTGAGATGCGTCTGAACACTCCGCTCCGACGGGCATTCTACCGGCCACATCACTTTTGAGTAGTTGTCTAAAGTAAATCTATTTCCGTGTCACATCCTTGCGTCTGCACCTCTCTAATCGACCAAGATAACCATCAGAATTCAATTTCTGTTGATCCAGAAACCTTGCGAATCTCCCACACAGTTGTGCCGCACAAAATATTCATCAATACCATTGCCAAACTACAAGGAACGAACTCACACTTATAATAAGGTCTCGAAACGAGTGACCTATTGGGACGTATATTCTCATCTGTTTGGTCTACCAAGAGTTTTCCCTTCCACTGCAGTCCATTGGTACCGCTTCTTGGAAGTGTCCAAGATCAATTTTTCACCGTGCATCGGTATCATTCATTCTATGCCCTCATCAGCTTAGGTTCAAGTCTCTTATGGTTCTGATTATGCTCAATAGACCGAGATGGCTCAATTGGTTAGAGTGTGAATTTGCTGACAAGAAGGTCCGTGGTTCGAACCCGACGTCTGCCTCTCGAATTCCTCTGTCTAGGCTTGCTGGCAGTATTCCAGCCCGCGTGCTTCCTTCGGGTGGCATGGCAGCTAGGTACCGGAAGTGTGCTACAACAACGATTTTTTTCACTAGACCGTTCTCTATTGCATCACCATAGCCCTTACAGTTAATGTTCTTATCCACACACAAACCCACTCCTGTCTTTCTATCCCCTTTCACCAGTGATGAGAAAACTACTTGGTTCGACGGTGCGTGCATCCGGTATCACAAACTCGGCCCGTTGCGTCACATGAAACGTACGTGTGTTGTGCTTCTGTTACCCTGCGTTGAATGCCCCGCCCCCCATCTACTAGTACTCTTGCATTTGTTTTGCCTTTCTACTTTAGCGCCGTCGACGACACGCGATGAAGTGGGATCTGACACCGTTGCTAAAGTGGTTAGTCTAACCTTTTGTTGGATGTGTTTGTTACGATGGCAGTTTCGCATTCATTCACACCGATGCAATGTGTGACTGCGCACTGTGTACTAAACCCAAATAGGTGTCAAGATACATTGCCCTCGGCCCTCCACAGGGACACCAAGAAGTGCACAATGGGTGCATGTCTTCAATGGCTCGAATGCGTGTTGTTCTCGATCAGGTGACTGCTGTTTATTGGCTTGCCATTCCGATAAAATGGTGACAGTGTCTATGACAGACCTATGTGGAAGGATTCCGTCCTACTACTTCATGGCACCAATGCGTCGGGCACCCCAAAGTTCCTGATGCTTATCTGCCATCTTGATTCTTCGCATCATACCATGCTGAAGCTGACATCCGGTCGTACCAGCGACCAGACCACAGCGGAGGCAGTTTCCACGACTGTATTTTCCACTGTAATTATCTTTGATGTATAATTGTTAACAAAGAAGGACAAGCTCGGTCTGAGAGGAATCATTTTATCCATAATTCACGGAGACCTGTGTTTCCAAACTGCGAGATGGACCAAGTGTTTAGAGCGCGAATTTTCTGACCGGAAGGTCCGACCTTTGCCACTCGATTTCCCCTGTCTAGGCTTGGGCGACCTGGCAGTATCCAAGCCCTCGTGCCTCCTTCATGTGGCATGGCAGCTAGGCACCGAAGAGGTGCTACAGCTGGACGATTTACGATATTTTTAAACTGCATCCTGCATCGCTAACCACCATGTGGAAAGTATTGGGATGTGCATAACTTTTTGAGACCAGTCCTACTCATCGTGAGCTTCATCACTATCAGTTGGATGCTTTTATCGAAGATATTTCTTAATTCAACTACCCAATCACACTTCGTTTGAGCTCCAAAGAGGCATGATTGTATTTTCACCAACTCCAGGTTGAAACAACCACTCCACCGTGTTTATGGAGATATTTCATGAGCAGCTGTGGACCTGGTAATTAAGATTCTTCATTGAGCAACTTCTGACAGGATTAGTGGACGACGGTCGTCCCAGTGATACCAGAGTCTCTAAAAGACGTTATAACCCGGGGTTTGTTCAAGACATTTAGTGCCCGAACAAGTAGAACATAAGATTGAAGGAAACCCGGGGACTGCGCCTACCTGATGAGCTCCAAAAAGGGCGAAACCGGTCGTGGGCTGTCGACGGATTTTCAGCAACCTTATGAGTAGCACATTACAAAGATATAAATGTATATACCTGTTTTTTTATTGGAGGGTGAGTAGTTTATGTGTATCGTTCAGCTGTCGCACCCTTTCGGTGCCTAGCTCCATGAACGAGGGTTAGGTTACTGCCAGGTTACCCAGGCTTAGACAGGGTTCGGACCTTCTGGTCAGTAAATTCTCACCTTAGCCACTGGGCTATCTCTCACCACAGTGTATGTGTGGTGACCTGCTAACTAATGCGTTACGATTATTACTACCAGAAACGTTGGAACCCATTGCGTAAAGGTTAGTTCAGAAACTTGTCGGGATCGGCAAAATTAGGTCACCGTATCAGGATTTCATCCTTTAATTTGGCTCGTTTTGTCCACCCTAAGAAGGTGGCAGATCCCCGCATGATTGAGTCCCTCTATGTAAATAACAAGGAACCCGCTCCGAACTGGAAAGTTGTGAGCCCGAGTTCCTGGTTTTATCTGGCCAATCAGAGTATGACCACTTGGAATCCATGCTTCCGAATTTTTTCTATCGACTTTTCCTTGCCGACAATTTCTGGCAAAAAGGTGCACGTTATTGTTCAGCACTCTGCCTTATTTGAATCACCCTAAATTTCTTTTCAAGTAGGGCTGTGAGACAGATAACTGTTCATCTAAATCGGATAGCCACTATTGTTGTTACCTTGTATATTGGGAATCTCTGGAAATATGCATTCTTTTCGGATACAGTGCACTCTGTTTAGTGAAAAAATGTCTGCCCGATAGGGGAAGGAACAACACCGTATCACATCTACTCATCATTTGCATTACAAATTTGCCTGTAATGTCGTTCATCTGTAGCACCCTTTCGGTGCCCAGCTGCCATGCCACACGAAGGAGGCACGAGGGCCTGGGATACTGTCAGGTTAACGAAACCTAGATAGGGGAAGCCGAGAAGCAGAGGTCGGGTTCGAACCACGGACCTTCCAGGCAGTAATTTCGCGCTCTAACCACTTGGTCCATCTCGCCCGCAGTATGCCTATAGGTAAATGGCCCGTAAACTCGACATTAAGTGACAACTACTCTTGTTTGAACGGTCGTCCTACTGTCGTGGCGTATTTATTCTGGTGAGTCCACACCAAAGTGAGAAGCACTGAACTCGAGTTTCGCTCTTATTAGAGCTCATCAGCAGTGCACATCTGATGGCCGTGCCGGAATTTGAGCTCCAAACATCTGATGTACGACGCGAGTGTGTTTCGACTACATACGACGCGAGTGTGTTTCGGCTACGCCACCAACACACGTCTGAACAAGTGAACGTTTTCAAGCTTGAGCAATGTATCCAACTCGTCGAGCGAAGATCCAGTAACTGGTTGTGACGATCGATCGACCATCCAGTCAGGTAGCGTCACAGACGCTTGTAACCCACTGAGCAACTTTTTGGTTTCTGTTGTGGGGTTTTGCGGGACATGTATTGTTCACATTTTTTCATTTTTTCATTTTCTGTACAAGAAACCTACTTTTCTTATTCTTCTCTCCGCTTTCCCAATTCATTTCCAGATCTCTGCACCAAAACAATCGATATTCTCCGTTGTTCAAGCTATTCTCAAGTTAGTTGACTATGTTTCCGTCGTTCGACCACTTTTCCACCTGATACCTAGAATTGCGTCACAGATTGGCTGCATTTCATGGAAAACGATCTTTTTGGTACATGTGGCTTTCGTTGCCACGTGTCCGGTCTTCAGTTTCTGTGTATCCGATATGCTAGTTTTGAAAAAAAGCTTTAGCCATTCTTCACATCGTGATCATTCCATATTCGAAGTCAAGTACCTTTCGCCGGCTTTACGTCCTGTCAATGCGTTCGAAAATTAGTGGCACGGCTACCTGCATTCGTGGTTGATCAGGTGGCTGTTGGTCTATTCGGTGAGCCGGTCAGTTGAGTTTCGTCACCACTCGAGGAGATACTGTCAGGGCGCTGTTGATGGTGATGTCTCCCCGAATGGCAACAAAACATCCGCAATCCGATTACCAAACTTGGCACACAGATTGACGGCCCATACTGTCATCCACCAGCTGTAGCTGGTCGTAATATTTCGAATGGAAGTAATCGTTGTCGAAATTTTTCAGTGAACTGAGACCCCTGTTTTACGTCAGATTGTCCAATATGCCCGTAATTATATGTCAGCCTCGTCTCCGATGGCATAAGTGCTTGATGAATTCCTCATCTTCACGCTAATAGCAGTGACGTGTGTGCTGCTTATCCTTCCCAGTAAAGGTGAAACTTGTTTTTCACTACTCGGCGCGTTATGACTTTGTTGCAGCGTTGAACAGTGCACTATTTACAATGTTTGATATCTTGCTGTTGGGTTCAATGATGAAGAATCGGTTATACCCCCCAAATCACTTCTCAATCTGATCCTCCAAGCTGGCATTTTCATCATAACAACCACCATGGGTGCACAAACGCCCGAAACTGGGTCAAAAACACATGTACAGCGCGTCGTATTCAAAATGTATGCGGTGACAACATTTTCGAAATCCGGACATTTTCTGGACTCACCAATGCTAACCGCCACCCAGAAAATACTGAACCGTGATTGGCTGTTGCCTTCAAATTTTCGACCAATCAGAGCTCGCCCCGGGGCTGGTGTAGAAGACAGCCCTTCTGACCAATCACGTGCGAGTTAGGTTTCTGGACTGAAGCGGCGCCCAACTGCAAGCAGCAAACGAGTTTTCACAGGATTTCGCCTAACAAGAACTGAGTAAACGTATACCCAGTAGCGGCTGATAAAAATACTGTTTCAGACAAGTTGTGGATGGTTGCTGGGTGCGCCCTCACGTTACTCTCGTTTGAGCAGTCGTCCACCTGTCCTGGCGCAATCGTCCTGGTGAGTCCACACCAAAGGGGAGAAACACTGGACTCGAGTTTAGCTCTTATTAAAGCTCAGGACTTCTGAGTCAATTAGTGCCAGAGATGCTTGAAACTTGCGGGACATTTTGTTTGGTTGTGGGTAGTTGCAACACTTGTTTGAACAGTGGACGAATCGGTCGGCACAACCAAAAGTCGTCGTTCGATGCGTCGGGCTTGCCACTTACATTACTCAAGCGTTCAGACTTAAGAATTCAGTGGAGTCCAGTATGCGCTGTCACCCCTCATGTCAGACGTACGGAGTTCAAACACCAAGGATGAGCGCTGCTGATGAGCCCTATTAACCTCAAAACTCTAGTCCAGTGTTTCAGACTGGGTGGTACTCGAGCGGGATTCGAGCCGCATGTCCTTCGAACAGAGTGAAAGTTAACCGCAATAGCTCGTAGCTCAAAATCATTGCATCCAGCGCCTCTACGCCACCTCAGGTGATGACAGCAGCTCGGAGCACTTTTCTCCGCAAGAATTTTACCACTCCAGCCATCACAATTTCACTACACCGACTGACTGAATCTGGTCACTACTTACTGCAGGTGTCAGGGACTTCACGATTTCGCCAGTAGTGTATTCTGATGTGATTTATTTGAACGTTGTTCCCAAAATGCACCAGTAACATCCGGTTTGTGGCGTTCCATTTCGAGTCCAAATATATCTCCCCAACTACAACATCATTTAACGGCAATTTGTACTGTTTTGTTTATTTTTCCTACCTATTTTAAAGTTTTATTCCCACTGTCACTTTATCCTAGAGTCCAGACGGATCCCGAAAAATTGAAAGCAACACTCGAGGATCTTCTCTCTAACTGGAGCCCCAACCGTAAGCTGTTTTTTTCGCATGACTTTGAATGGGTCCGTTTTTGTTTTTCTCTATTCGAGACTGCATTGCCAAGCCAGCAAGTCCTCATCAAACCGATTAGGTTATCTCTCAGTAGCCTTGATCGGTTTGTGAGGTGACCTCTAGGGGAACATATTGCGTCATACTCTTTCGCGTTCAGGATGGCTTGTCTGTTGGGTCGGGTCCGTGTTTGCAACCTATGTCCTCTGTAACACCATAGGACGCCACTTCCCGTCCATTTCCATTGAAGGCGGGCTGCCCAAATCCACAGGATGACAGTTCCAGGACGCCACTTCCCGTCCATTTCCATTGAAAACGGGTTGCCACAATTTACAAAACGACAGTTCCGCAGTAGATCGCAGTCCGCTTCCCGACCTGTCGGACCGTGGCTTTACACCTTTGTGGAGTTCTCAATGAACGTACAGCCAAACTTGACGGTTTTTTGTTACTTCAATTCATAAGACGGGAAAGGAAGTCTGACTGATTAGTGTATGCGAAGCGTGGGTAAGCCGTTCGCATCATTTGTGAGTCATTTCCACAGCGGACTCATCGACTGTGCAGCTCGGTCTGTACCATAACCGCCACGGTGTCACGTCTCACACCATCACAGGCCTAGTGTACTGAAAAATTCAGCGTGTTGCAGATGAGCAGACCCCAATGTGTTCAGCTGTTTGTGCGGTTAACTAAGTTATCCAAACAGACTGCTGCCCAACTTGTACTTTGCTTCTCGCAAGAGGGTGTCCGATGCAGTTAAACAGTTTACTGAAAAATTCAGCGTGTTGCAGATGACCAGACCCCTATGTGTTCAGCTGTTTAGTACGACACGCTGTTTGTGCGGTTAACAGACTGCTTTCCAACTTGTACTTTGCTTCTCGCGGTGCAGTTAAACAGTCGATTCCTTTCGTCAACTTTTAACCGTGCATAACTGTCTTTTGATTCGTTTAGCTCGGGCTCGGAAATATAGTGGAATGCAGCCATTTATTGTATTAGAATGGATTCTTTTCAGTCTACTCGTGGAGACGGAACGTAGGCAGTAGGCGGTAGCTTTAGTGCCTCCATTTTGCTCGTTGGGTGATTGGACCTTTTGTACAAGCGCCACTAACCGGCTTTCCCGGTCCTGAGTAAACCATCCGGGTAGACGGCAGCTGTCGCTGACTTTGAGTTTCTTGGCTAAGGCCCCAATACTTTGTTTCCAAGTTTGCCTAACCATCTCTAGGTCGTTTCCTCCCGACAGGAAGAGCTGTGTGAGACGAGAAACGTATGTCTTCTAACCAGCGTTTGACTAGATATTCTGTCGTGAGTGGCTCGCTTCTTTCGAAAACCACTCGATACGGGTCCCTCGATGGATATTCTCATGGGACGTCTAAAACGCCCCATTGCCTCTTCATCAGTTGTTGGCAAAGTCTGCGATCCACAGAGCCCAGATTGCATTGTAGTGGGCTGCTGTAGACGAGTGGCTTGAGTGTTTGCAGATCCTTGGGAATGGTACAACAAATAATGGGATTTGAATTATGGCGACTTCAACTGGATCCTGTTTCATTTCGATGCTGTAGAACGCCACACTGTCATGGATAGCAGCTTCTCTCCTGCTTCTGTGATGAGCGCAAATATGCCTAAATGACTGTCCTCTTTTCTGATGTCCACTAGTCTGTCGACGGGTACCCTTCAACAAACCGATTCCGGTGTCATAACTTCCGTTAACCTGTAGCACCCTTTCGGTGCCTAGGTGCCATCTCTCCCAAAGGAAGCATGAGGGCTGGGATACTGCCAGGTTGCCCAAGTCTAGACAGGGGAAGTCGAGTGGCAGAGGTCGGGTTCGAACCACGGACCTTCCGGTCAGTAAATTCGCGCTCTAACCACTTGGGCCATCTCACCCAAGCGTTATCATCGTTAGCAGTAATCGCCTAAATCCTGCGTATTGAACAATCTCGAAGAGTTAGGGGTCGTGACACGTAATCACATGAGCTCTTGTCCTGAAAGCCACAACTTCAGTTTACCCCCTTTTCCACAGCTTTGTTTGGTTGGTAAAGCTTCTTCAACAAAGTCCTCCTCTTTGGTGGCAGTTGTCGAAAGACATTTGATTCGAAGCTCTCTATTTCTGCCTATATCGACTTACTGGGGGGCGTGCTTGAAATGAACTGCGTTTAGACACAGGCTGAGGTCAACTTCTTAATGATGTCTTTTGTAACACTGTCTTCGAACTCACGTTGTCTCATACATCTCCGGTAGTGTGGGGCAAGGTGGCTCTTCAGTTTACCCCCTTTTCCACAGCTTTGTTTGGTTGGTAAAGCTTCTTCAACAAAGTCCTCCTCTTTGGTGGCAGTTGTCGAAAGACATTTGATTCGAAGCTCTCTATTTCTGCCTATATCGACTTACTGGGGGGCGTGCTTGAAATGAACTGCGTTTAGACACAGGCTGAGGTCAACTTCTTAATGATGTCTTTTGTAACACTGTCTTCGAACTCACGTTGTCTCATACATCTCCGGTAGTGTGGGGGCAAGGTGGCTCAGTGGTTAGAGAGCGAATTTACTGGTCGGAAGGTCCGTAGTTCAAACCCGATCTTTGCCTCCGGACTTCTCTTGTCTCGGCTTGGACAACCTGGCAGCTAGACACCAAAAGGTGCCACAGCTGAACGAGTGTATACTTTTGGATGCATCGTTAGATAAATCGGGGTTACGGTATGTGTTTCAGATAGACTAATCCTCAACCCAGTCATCGCCGGCAACGCAGACGCGTAAGCCCAGATTTTAACCGACCTGGAATCCACTCCTGTTCTTCTGCTTCCAAGCAATTTCAGCAGACCCATAACTAGAAACGTCATTATCCCCAAACCATGCTCTTCCTTTCGAACAAGAGATACACAATAACGTATCGGTCCCAGAAGTGATCTCCTCAAACTCTAGGTGGTCACCTACGCCAAAACCACGGTGCTGCTCGTGGTTAGGCGCTGTGATTTTGAGTAGGCCCAACTCCGCGCTTAGGAGACCCGGCCGCTTGGCGGTCTACCATCAAAACGAGTTCTCGTTGGAGGAAAATGTGAACTCGACGAACAACCATGTCCCCGTATCCGCTGAGCGCCGGTTGACATTGGCGCTTCCAGAAGGTGCCTAAATTTCCAGAATGTTGACCTACAACATACGGTAAATGATGCAGTGTACATATGTTTCGGACTTGTTGCGATTATTCTGTGGGAAACGCAACCTGCGAAGAATCAGACCGAGAACTCAGTTGGGGGACAACACCCATTATTGCGCTGACATATGATTACCTCATTGTTCAGGTCATTATCGCGTTGCCTCCACTTTCAGCTGAAAACACTTGGTGTTACTGAACTGAATGGGGCCTTGCGGTCTATTCTCAGCTAAACCTTTACAGATTTCTCTCTCTCCGTAGTTCCCAAACACACTCACAGATATGTGTTGATAATTTGCCCTGTGTGTTGTACTAAACTTCCTCTGCTCATATATATTTTCACACTAGAAAAAGCCACCGTTGCTAACCACCTTATCGCAAAAGGTGCGGCAGATGCGGTCGAAAGTATCATGAATATGAGTTCCACTCCAGAAAAAGCAAAACGTGATTCGCCATCCGTGGAGTTTGCGAAAATTGTGAGGTGAGTTGTTCATGTGTGGTTTATTTGAACACCCTGGAAAACTGCATTTGTTTTGATGGCAGGTGCACGCGGTTATTCGTTACGGAAGTTCGCGTGCTTCGCTTTGTGCAACCCTCAGTTTCCGTGTCCTCAACAGGATCTGTTGTCTTTTAGCTATTCGTATTGTTTTTCTCGTCAGAATGCGCAATGATTTGATTCAAACACCAGCGACAACCATTTACAACAGCGTCCCCACATTTGAAAGCAATTCAAGTTCTTTCAGTCCCCTAATCGTTACCAAGATTCGGCTCTTTTTCAACCAAGCACATGATGCGGACTTGAGTGTTGACCCAGAGTGATAGGCTCCTGACAATTCGATAGATCGTTTAACGATTAACTTTCCTGGTTTTCAGAACTAGCAACTGGAAAAAGCCTCTGTTTAGTACCTCATGTCCTTTACAACTATGAATCTTAAGGCCCGTTAGTTCATGTATGTTGAGGTTCCCGATAAGGAACTTTGGGTGACGCGTAGGTTCTACAATCCCGAATATCAAAAGGAAGAATTGGGTTCGTAATTCTACGCTACTATTTACACAAGGGTAAGCAAATGTGTACAACAAACCTCAATTGTTCACGTTCGTAGCGTCAACAACAAGTTCACAGGTCTGTCACTGACCAGCATAGCGCACTGTCAACGTCCACACACCAAACAGCAGCGAGCGGAATGATGGCTCAGTAGAGTGCGTTGCGGTCGTTCCCTCCGACGGCGGTCTCGTGATTCTCATTGGACGTGAGGTCACGCGGAACCCATGAGAAGACAAGTCAAGGCAGGCTCAGCAAACGGGATGTGAGCGCACATGGGTAAGTAGGTCAGCAGCGCGCATTCGCAGACAGACACACATGTCAATACACAAGTGTCGGAAAGGACGGCCTCTGCGACAAGGTGAGTGGCGGGTACGAATAGGCAAAACGACTGGATATCAAAAGTACATAGGCGGAGGAGAATTATCCTATGGTCAAGTTAGATTCAACAATGTATTCCCCTAGCTTCTCGAAATCTCTCCGTTTTAGTATTGACCATCGTGAAGCTGCTCAACCACTGGTATTTTTTAATGAATTCTTCCTTATTTTTTCCCAGCGCATCTCTTGCGGACCCTCTGAATGCAACAAATGATTCCTCCTCAGAATTGGCACGATCCGCTCTCCAAAAACTGAAACGAATGAACTCGGGACAGCTGATTACATGCCTCAAAGGCCCTCACGTAGAAATGCTATTCCGATCCTGGCCGCTCGACCAGCTAGGCGATCGTAAGCTATTTGCTCGGATATTTTCATTCTAACAGTCATCTTTGAGGTTCACCCGCTAATCCTCTTTTTTTGTGTTTTCTATTCCAGTTCTCGAATTGGTCAACAGTGCTTCGGAACACGAGAAGAATTCGTTAAATTTGCAGCTGGCAGCAATTATGATCAATCGGAATCGTCACAATATTGCCAAGCAGATAGTCAAAGTGAGTGATTTTTTGTTGTGTGTGCGGCAGATTTCGTCCTGAGGAGCAGCACCGTACAGTTGTTTCATCCTTATTGGGACTCATCAGCATTGCGGGTTTCACACGGAGCCACCAGTAGTAAGGGTTTTTACAGTATGATATCGCAACTTACCCGCTCACTAATGAAATAAAAGTAGAATATCTACCAAGTTTTACTTCTAATGGCAATTAGATCAGAGGCCTGTAGTATCAAGTCAGTCGGTAATGGTTGCGATGCTTTGTCATTCCTCCTGGTATGTGAATCTGAGAGCTCTTCAGTAGTTTGGCAATATTGTATAATGTATCATAAGGCCTGTATGGTGCCTGTCAAATTCCCTTTGTCAATGTATCAGTCAGACACGTTAGTTCGTCGGAAGGAGAAGACAAACACCTTCGGGTCGTTCCGTGATTTGGAATTCAACTGAATCAGAATATAAAAAGAGCTAACAGTCCAAGATGATGTCAGTGAGAGGCTGCAATGTAGAAACAAGGTTTCAGTGTACAAGACAAGTAAAGTGGATTTGTTCGTTTGGAGGTAGTCCTCTCTACAGTAACCCGAGGAAAATAATGAATAATAATAGTAATCGCTCAGCTGTAGCATGCTTTCACTGCCGTGTCACACGAAGGAGGCACGGGGGCTGGGATGCTGCCAGGTTGCCGAAGCCTAGACAGGGGAAGTCGAGAGACCGAGGTCGGGTTCGAACCACGGACCTTTCGGTCAGTGAATTCGCGCTCTAAACACTTGAGCCGTCTCGCTCTCAGTACCCCCAAGTGCTTGCTTCCGTACGGTGTTGAATGAACAGTGTAGGTGCTGTGCGATATTTCTGAGACTTGAATTATGTATGGTGTGTTTAATCGTGGACGGTGTGCATCTTGTCTACACCATCACTTTCAAAACTATTTTTGTTGTTGATGTTGGACGGGAATACTCCTATTGATTTGACATTGTCTACAAGCGTATAAGAACAACTGCTTCCCGAAAATTCTTGCCAAAGTCTGATCTATGAAAGGCCTTGATCACCGCATTCTTCCCGTAAAGCCTAGTGAACCACAGAACCTCTGGGGGTGTCTTGTCTCGCACAATGGAAAAGTATTTGATTCGTGTCCTCACTGTTTGGTTTTTACTCGTCCGCGCTTGATAGGTGTCATTCTTTGACAGGTTTGCTTCTGGGATAAATTCTCCATCTTGGTAATTGCCCGCAGTGTCCTTTCACAATCACCTTGTACGGGTCTACGCTCAGCGCCACCTTCATTGTGGACCGTGTTGACGCATGCTTCATTGTCGTACACCCGCAAAAAGTATATTAAGCAGCCCTGACGTAGAGAGAAAAGGTCGAGTTACCTTATTACTACATTCGTGCTTGTAGCAATATCTTACAACGTCGGCGTTGCGAGAGTCACCGGGATCTAGTCTGGAAGCCGGACTGTTACCGACAAATCCGAACCTTCCGTGATCCGCGCACAAAGTTCGCCGGTTACACTCATTTACTGAGTCCCTCTCGAGTGACATAATCAGACTGTCCCGGACATAGCGACAAACAAACTCACTCAACCATTTTGACGACCTTAAGACGACAAGTCGTGGATGCGGCTGAGACAGGCTTCTGGAAACCGTGCACGAGACTGAATCTGAGGTGGCATTTAGGAGCAAATCCTCTGCATAATTTGATGAGGCGTATGCGAAATCCTCACTTGTCTGTGATCAGAAGTGAAGAATACTGATTATGCTGAAAGGTGCCTTTTTTGTTCCTAGACATTGTGATATTCGCACCTTTTCATAGATTCCTGTACATAAGGAATCAAACTCGATCGTGAAGTAACTCAAAAGCTATCTAGAGAGGTATGTACTCAGCTGTAAGTGAGCGGAGAACATGCAAAACGATCGCGCTTCATACTGTGCATCAGCTCCCAAAAAATAAGCCATTTGATGAGGTGAAAAGTTATGCTTTCTCCTGTCCTTGTGCTTTCCTATTGTAATGTGGTTTGATTTGGTTTTTCTTTTCCGCCTTTTCTCCACGTCACAGTCAACTGGTCCCCTGCCAACCGCGTTCCTTGCCGGTAGTCCACGGCACATTTTAAGCGTACCAGAACTAGAGGCAACGCTCACTTACCTGTCCGAAAATGATCCAGATCACATGGCGACGTTCGTTGACGCTTCTCTACGCAATGCAGGTTAGCCGTTTCTCTCCACCTCCTTTTTTCGATTTTCTCACATCCTTGGTATATCCTGAGGGTTTATTTCTTTCCGACCATTCTCCTTCATTCTGCAGTTTTTACGACGAATCCTCGACAGGTAAACGACGTGGTCAACTTCGTCCGTGCCGTGGATTCACATCCACTATCTTTTAATCTTCGCGACATTTGTCAGTTACCCACAACGGATCTGATCGCACGGTTCCTCCAGCGGACACCAGAGGTGAGCGTCTCGTTATGCTTTGTTGCCGGTTCTGTTGTCCAAGCATATGGTACCTGCTAGTCAGTGGTCATCCTTGGACTACCAAATTAATTTCTCTCCCCGCACAATTCCACATCTCTTTCTGGTACCAGTATGAACTGCTTACATGTTTTTCCTCTGGCTGTGTAGCTGGCAGGCTTCTAGGCCTCTGACCAATCTCGAATCGCCTCAGACACGGTACTCGACAATCGTACTGTCAATGTTTTCGGGTCTCGAAAATGGTTGTTTTACCACTAGATAGGGAACATCGGAAGAACCTCTACATGGACCCCTGTTTGCTCATTGGCTATCTCGTTAAACGGCCAGTATCACTTACCAATATCCGGTAACGGTAACTCGTTTGACGAGTCTCAACATGTTTCCCCCAATTTGCACACACAAAAAGAAACAGATCAATGGTGCCAAGTCGTGTGCTCTTCAAGACTAGTTCATGCCAACCCACCTCGTTCCCGAGCATGTGAGAGGAAAGCACTGTTCTCGTGTACCCATTAATCGATCATATCTTCCATCTGTGGCACCTTTTTGGTGCATAGATGCTGTCCAACTTGAGACACGGACGAGGGCCGGGCAACTGACGAATCTCAAACAGGATCTATCCAAAACACACATGCAAATGTCACCCTATAGGATCAGTCACAGGCGTTTGTTTGCTTTAGACACCTCAGATTTAACAAATGGGATATTTTTGTTCGGCGAACCTGCTCACAACACATTTCCCCCATGGATCTCATGTTCCATTAAGCGCAATAAAGTTCGATAACACCACAAACATGCAGTGGCAGTGCGAGCGACATCTGTGGATGATCCCCTTTCCCAGATTTGCATAACTAGCTTGTAGATAATACAGTGTTACCAGAATGCTGTGGCCGTCTTTCCTATTATAACTATGACGTTCCACAGGTGGTGACCACCAACCATAAAGCAGTCATCACGATGACCGTAGCCGACTATCTATTATAGCTGCTGGATCCGTGTCTATGTGCGGCGCTAATTAAGGTTCCCCGCATATGCGCGGCAGCCCAATCCAATGAGCAACGACGGCCCCTTGTACTCGTATCTCTACTAGTTTTCACTCATCTCGACTGCCTGTTGTAACTGCTAGGCCCGCGTTTATCTGCAACATTGATAATGAGACTGCACCTATGCACAGTAACATAATCCGGTGGTCAATGGCGGTCTTTTATACCCTTAACTATACGCGATGCCGCTTGTCTTCGCTAGTTACAGTAAACATCAGTGCAATATATATGCCGACCGGTGAGAATAAGGCCTCAGCTATGCGTGATAGCCACATCTGACAGCCTGTTATACTCACAACTGTACTCGAGGTCATCTAACTTGGCTATTGATCGTACCTGTTGAGTCAGTGTAATTGTGCATGCATACCTAATCTAGTGGTGAACTATGGACCTAAATCTGAAAACTGTACGCGATATTGCCTATCTTGACTACTTATTGAAACTGGTAGGCCAGTGCCTATATGCGACACCGTTTAGTAGGCCTCAGCTATGCGAAGTGTCCTGATTTAACTGCCAACGATGGCCCGTCATACCCAAAAATGTGCGCGCTCTCGCTCGTCTGCTGCTTACATCATT